TGGAGCTGCGGGCCCGGACCGGCCTCCTCCGCAGCCTGCGCGGGCGCCCGGAGGCGGGGCCGAAAACCTGGACTGGACTCTAAATTCCGCTCTTCCCGCGGCCTCCACCCCTCGCCCCCAGAAGCGGAAAAGAGGAAGGCGACGTGCGGGATCCCTGAGTCGGAACGGGAGTGGGGGAGGGGAAGGAGCGCGTGGAAGACCCGGAGCGGATTTTCCAGCGGCGGAAGGAAGGACCGGCGCCCAGCCCGCTGGAGGGGAAGACCTGGACGGTGCAAAAGCCGGGCTGGATTGCACGGAGCAGGGAGGCACCTGGCCGGGATTGGGAGGGGAGGGAGACGCGACGCGGCCAAATGCACCCGGGACACGCAAATTCCGGGTCTGTCTCTTCCTCGGGAGACTGAGGGATGTGCCAGGCACAGTGCAGTGGAGACACTGGGCTTGCGCGGGGGGCAGGGGGCTCCCCGAGCTTCCAGTCAGCGACGTGCACAGGAGAGGAAAAAGGAGGGCCGGAATCCGCCGCAGGGATCGGCTTGCGGGATCCCGCCGCAGGCAGGAGGCGCGGGCTCCGGCCTCGGGCGTCGCGCTGGGTAGGGACGCGCGCGAGGCGCTGCCCGGGAGACCAGGCCAGCGGAGACGCGCGGATGCCCGCAAAGCCAGGACTGGAGTGAGCGGGACGGGATGCGATTCCCGCCGAGGCTCCCTGGCAACCGGGCCGGCTTTGGGAGCTGACCAGTGTTAGGGGAAGGTTAGCGTCTACCAAAGCTTCAAACTTCTGACTCTGAGATGTGTATGTGTTGGGGGGTGTGTGTGATAAATTTTAGGTTGTGGGCAAGAACAAAAACCTGAGATGGAGTCTCATAGTCTAGCTCCTACACTGCAGCTGGTGTGGACTTGAAGAAGTAGGGCAAGGAACAGGCTTGAGATCTGAGGCCCAGGGAAGCTGCCAGGGGCCAGATTCCGACCTGAGGCTAAGAGAGAGCTTCGCATCCCCTCTCCCGAGCGGGTAAGGCGCGACCTGGCTAGGATCCCCTGAGCCAGAGTTGTGACTGCCAAGAACCACGGTAGGGGCTCTGAAACCGGGCCCCACGCCAAAAATAGGCACTTCAGCAGAATAGACAAATCAGTGCAGGGTGGGGGCTGGGCGACGGAGGAGGGGCACAATCCTGGAGGGGAGAGGGTCGGGAGAGGCCCGAGAGCTAAGACCCGGCTAGGATCTGGGGAGGCCGGGCCTGGAAGCAGCTTCTGGCTCCATTTTGTGAAAGATGGGTACAACTCTAAGACTGACGGGCAGGGAGGAGTGAAACCCGGGCTTGGATCTTCAGGGAAGGGAGTCCATCCAAATAAGGCCTAAATATTAAAGCAGGCAGCTCCTGCCAACTTCTGTCTGGCTGAATCTGAGCATACTGGAAGCCTTGGGGCGAGGAGGTAGGGCAGGTAAATCCTGATGTGGATTTTAGAGGAAGGGGATTACTGGGGTGGAGGAAGGGTGAAAGCCTCTCTGCAGTTAACCAGGGTCTCTGCAGAATGAATGAGGAACAGGGAAAGAATTTGAATGTAGAAGCAAGATCCAGTGGCACAAGCCTGTAACTGCACCTGGCTATAATCCCAGTGCTTGGGAGGCTGAGGCAGGAGGATTGTTTCAAATTCAAGACCAGCCTAAGCCACATAGTGGCTTCAAGCTAGCTTGAACTACACAGCAGGACTGTCTCAAAAAAATAAATAAATAAAAATAAACAAATAGGGCCAGGGATGTAGCTCCATGCAGAGGCTCTTGATTCAGTCCTGTGTGTGTGTGTGTGTGTGTGTGTGTGTGTGTATGTGTGTGTGAGTGGAGTGGTAAATCCCTAAAATTTGAGTCTGATTCGGGTGAGAACAATGAATCTGGTCTCCAAGACTCTCTTCCAAGAAGCACTTCCTACTGGACTGAACTGGGAGGGAGCCTGGACCCCAGACTCTGAGCCTGGCCGAGTGACCTGTGTGACAACCCTCTTGCCTTCTAAACAGCCTTTCTTTCTAGGGCTGGACAGGGATTCACTTAGCCCAGAACCTGGGCCAAATCTAGCCCTAGCACCTCAGGGCAGAGTGGACAGGTGTGTGTCGTTCCCACTGTGGCCTTGAATGTAAGTGACTAGGTCCAGACAACTGGATCTGAAGACCCACGGAGACTGGTGGGCGCAAAAAATATCCCGTCCATTTGTGGTTAACTGCAGCTCTCTTGGGTGCTGGGGACGGCGACTTCTGCATGCTTGAGTTTCCCACTTTGAGATATCAGACAGCAGACCCACCGAAGGCACTGAGGTGCTGAGCAGTGAGCATGGTGCTTCAGGGGTCAACCAGGACCTCCCCCCCACCCCCCAGCAAGGCAGGCAGCTTTCTGTAAATCGGACGGGGGCGGGGCTCGATAGCAGAGCACTTGCCTAGGATTCACCAGGGCTTGAGTTCCATCCCCAGCACCACAAAACCAATACAAACCAAGGGGGCCAGGACGCGCAGCACGGGGAAAGCCAAACGCCTGAGTTCTCCGGCTCCAAGTCCCCTCCCCGCCACCAGTGGCCCGGAGCCGCTGCAGCGCGGGCCTGGAGGGGGGATGTGGGGAACTCGACGGCCTACTTTAAGGGATCCTTGGCTCCGTGTGCAAACATCCCCTCAGGAAACCCCCTTCTACACCCTCCTCTGTCTCCCCACACCTGTGATCGCGGAGCGCCCCTGGTGGTGGCCAGGGTCGGCTCGCTAGCTCCACCGGGCCGCGTTCCCTGGATTCCCGGGCTCACAAGGCAGGGAGTGCACCGCGGCTGGGGGCACGAAGAGAGCCGCGGGTCCCGGGACGCGAGGGCTGCGCAGTCGCAGTGGAGGCCGTGCCTGGCCCGGCTCTGGCACCGCGGCGTTCGCGTGCGCGCGCAGACTCGCCCGGCTCCGCGCCTGTCGCGTGGTCCGCTATCCCGGGACTGTCCCTGTGCGCCCCTCGCTTCCAACATGAAATCTCGCACTTAGGGAGCCCCATGCTGAGCGCCCCGCAGGTCCCGCGCCTCAGCCACCCCAGGTTCTGTGCATCTGGTACTTAGAGACCCTCTTCCCGGAGGGTCCGGTGTCTTCGGTGCCCCCATTTGGTATAGGCTGCGCGTGCGCACCCTACCTTCTGTGGACCCCATGCCAGAGGATCCCTGTTCCCGGGGCATCCCATGCCTGCAGCACCCCATGTTGTCCCCTGCGTTTTGGGAACCCCACATTCTGAGCAGGTAGCACTGGAGCACCTGTGGGCCACTGTTCTGCCCTGTCTTGGGGCTCTGGTTGCTCGGGGTACCCTTGCCAGGCTCCTGAGGGCCCCTACACGATGGCCACGCATCGGAGGTCAGGGCTGGGGACTATGAGTCTTCCGGTTGACAGCCCTTCCTTCGCAGAGCACTCTCACCGGCTGCCAGGTGCCAAGGTCCTGGCTGCCATCGAGGGTGCCCTAGAGCAGGCAGGTAAGCCTGGAGCCTTCTCAAGCACCCCCTTAAAACCAGGTGTGGTGGCCCACGCCTGTAAACCCAGCACTTAGGAGGCTGAAGCAGGAGGGTCACCATGACTTCAAGGCCAGTTTGGGGCTACATAACAAGACCTTGTTTTTAAAAACAAAACAAAACAAACAAAAAGAATCAAGGGCCCCCTCTCTAGTGGGCAAGATAAACAGAACCCAGGTATGGTTCAGCCCCAGAATCAGATGTGAGGGGGTAGAGGGAGATGAATCTGCCTAGGCCTTGGGATTCCTGAGTGGGGTGATAGTTTTGCGGTGCTGGGGATGCAGCCTGGGCCCCACACATACTGGGCAAGAGCTCCACCACTGAGCCACACCCCCAGGCCTTTTGTTTTTTATTTTGAGACAAAGTCAAGCAAACTTGCTCAGGTGGACTCAAAATTTTTATCCTCCTGACTCAGCCTCCTAAGTAGCCACTGTACCTGGTAGAGTGTCCTTGAGTTCCACCTCCGGTACCAAAATAAAAAAGACAAAGAGGGGCTGGGGATTTAGCTCAGCGGCAAAGTGCCTGCCTGGCAAGCGCAAGGTCGTGAGTTCGGTTCCCGGTACCGGAGAAAAACAAAACAAAACAAAACAAAAAGACAAAGAACTAGAATTGGGGCTGGGAGGATAAGCTCGGAGTAGGGATTAATTCCAACTGCTGCCTTTGTGAGTGTCTGGGGGGGCGGGTTTCTGTCATTCAACTAACATTACCGAGCACCTACGGTGGCTGGGCACTGTACGAGGTGCTGGGGACACCCTTGCAAAGGTCACTAGGCAGCGGAGCCATAAGGACTGTGCAGGTGGAGGGAATGCTGGAAGGGAACACCAGGTGGAGGTGGGGATGTAGTGGGGGTGGGCGGAGCATGCTGGCTTGGTGGGCTGGGAGCCATGGAAGGTTCTTGAGCAGAGCAGTGAGGACCTGCCTCAGGTGCTCACAGGCAGAGTACTGGAGCAGAAGCCAGGGACCCTGGGCAGGGGCTGCATGGGTTCAGGTGGGAGATGCAGCGTGGAGAGGGGATTCTGGAAAGGTGAAGCAGATGCATTGGAAATGAGTGTGTGGGAACAGATGAGTCAGAGTTTATGGTCTGAGTGCTTGGGTGGATGGAGGCGATGCAGAGGGTGCCTTGCTACTTCTCTTTTTTTTCCTTTTTTTTTTTGAGGCAGGGTCTCACTATGCAGTCCAGACTGGCCTTGAGCTTGATTATGTAGTCCAGGTTGGCCTCAAACTCATGGTGATCCTCCCGCCTCAGCCTCCCAAGTGCTAGGATTACAGGCGTACATTGCCACATGGGACCAGAGAGGGAGCCTTGGGAAGTTAGGGACTTTTTTTTTAATGGTACAGAGAATTGAACCCAGGGACTTTGCATTGAGTTCTGTCCCCAGCCCTTTTTTGTTTATTATTATTATTTTTGACAAAGTCTCATTAAGTCACTAAAAAACAAACACAGAACCCAATTTATGATCCTCCAATTTGTGACATTTGTGTGCCATCATGCCCAGCTCCTTTATACATGCTTAAAAGATTATTGGGGGGTGCTGGGGATTTAGCTCAGCGGCACAGCGCCTGCCTGGCAAGCACAAGGTCGTGAGTTTGACTTCCGGTACCAGGAAAAAAAAAGATTATAGGGGGAGCTGGGGATTTAGCTCAGCGGCACAGCACCTGCCTGGCAAGCACGAGGTCGTGAGTTCGATTCCCTGTACCGGGAAAAAAAAAAAATTATAGGGCCTGGGCATAGTGGCGTACACCTGTCATCCTAGCACTTGGGAGGCTAAAGCAGGAGGATCACAAGTTTCAAGTCAGCCTGTACTACGTAGTGAGTTCAAGGCCAGTCTGAACTGTACAGCAAGACCATGTCTCAAAAAGCTGGAAAAAAAAAAGAAAAATGCTGAGAATTACCATGTGATTAAGCAGTTCCGCTCTTAGGTATAAATCGTAAGACTTGGAAATGGGCACTCACAGATATTTCTACCTGGCTTTTCACATGATTGTATTCACAATCGACGAGGGGGCAAGCAACCGACATGCCCATCAGTGGGTCCACAGATAAACTAAGGGAACAGCACCCACGTCATGGGGTTTTTTTGGAGACAGGGTCTCACTATGTAGTTCAG